AAGATATATGCATTTAGTAGAAACTGTACTTCAAATTTTGAATTTTGATTCAAAATTCTTTATTATAAAATGGGCTTTGTGTTAGCTGATCTCACCCAATTTTAGGCTAATGTAAGTGTTCCACGCACTTTTAAGGTAGTCTGGGCTAAGCAATGATATTTGGTAGGTTAGTTGAATCAAATGCATTTTTGACTTATGATATTTTCAATTTATGATGGGTTTATTTGGACTATAACTCCATTGTAAGTTGAGGAATATGTATACACACACATACTATATATGTGTGTATGTAGTGTGTGTGTGTGTGTGTGTACGGAGGAAGGTTATCTAAAATATCTTGAGATGTTACAGTAATTTTTTTCTTTTGAGAAAAGTTTTTATTTCCCAAACATTATGTAATAACATTACACTCTGTTTTCATATATTACTTTTTAAATCAGAGAATTTGCTTTTTTAAAAATATGTAATGACTTCCACTTTAGTGAATTAAGGTAACAAGGTGAGACTAAGTTGTTTAAAAATAGATATTTGCTTCATTGTTTAAACATTAGGGATCCTTAAATATAACAAAATTGCTTGTTAAAACCACTAAAGCATTTCTCCATTTTTCTAACTTGTTTTCATTTCTATTATTCACTACCAAACAATCTAGATTTTTCCTTTTTCAAAGACATTTGGGAGGGATTGGGCTGGAATGTGTGTTCTATTCCCGGTTTTTTTCTCTTAGAGTATTTGGTTAATTCTGGCCAAGGTGAACATTCAGTAACCACTCTTTTTTAACCAAACACACAAAAAAATTAAAATTCTTTAGAAGGGGAGCCCAGGAAATTAGGACTTGACTTTCAGATATTATACTCCAATAAGAACCAAAAATAATTTCTTTTACGTCTTGTAAATTCTTTTAGTAACTTGTGTGGATCAACCCAGTATGAGTATAGCATCTCTGAAGAGCATGCGATTCAAATGTTGAAAGTAAATGACCTCCTAAGTTGCCCAACCTTTTCTTTGTAGCTACAGCATCTAAAATGAGCTCTTCTTTTGTTTTGTTTCACACCTGTGGATGATGCCATGACTGTACAAAAGTAGTGCTTAAGTTCAAATTTAGAAGAAATTTAGCTTTCTTTTTTTTCTTTTTTTTAAAATGGGGCCTCCCTATCTGCCCTAGGCTGGCCTTAAACTTCACTCCTGGGCTCACGCAATCCTCCAACCTCAGCCTCCTGAGTAACTGAGACAACAGGCATGCCCTGTGCCCAGCTAGCTCTCCTTTTTAAGACCATTTAAGCCCAGTTCGTGAGGTTATGAAAGAAAAAGAGAAATCAGAAGGTAGAACAAAGCAACCATCAGAGAGTGTCTACAAAAAATTATTACTTCATGCACTTGCAGAGTCAAACCACTTACATTTTAGAAAAATAAACATACCGCTATGTGCCATCAACAATGAGTTTTTACTATACCCTACCCTGAAGCCAACATCTTGATCTTAATGGTTCTTCAACTTCATGATTTTTCATAATTTTAATCCAACTCAGATGACCAGTTGTTCATGTTATTCCTAGTCTGGGACCTCCCTATGCTTTAGTATCTGGCTGTTCATAGACATTTTTGGTTCCCATTTGGGTGGCGTTTTGAACTCAAAAACTGATGATGACCTATGTTGTAAAAAGTCCCATATTGCTAATGTCTGAATCAGCAGTAAATACATAATTTTAATTTAGTCCGGTTTTGTTTGTTCATTTTACAGGTTTTCAAATTTCCCAGTGATTTGGAAGACTTGTTAGAACCGTTTTTAAATACCAGCTCAGCCCAGCCCTGTTGTGTTAAAGATGACATCTGAAACCACAAATCATTTCACTGTGGTAACCAGAAGGCTTGACTTTGAGTTTAACAATTAACAACTGATAGAAGGACTTGTGTTGACAAGCAGTTTGCCAACACATTACGATGTGATGAGCCCTATCACCATCTAAAAACACTTTTCCATGAACAATATTCCATAAACCAGCAGTCTGATTATTTTCTTAATGAATTAATGTTTATTTTAATCTTTGGAGGAATTTTTATTTATTTCTACTTAAGAAAACTACAGAACATATAATAGTATGTTCTCATTAACCTTTCTGTGTTTTTTTATTTTGTGCTGATTATGTTCTCAAATGGAATGAGAAACTAGTAAAATATTACAGTTGTTTGATAATAAACATTATTTTTAAAGTTGAAAAATAGTGGCATGTATTTATTTTCATTTTGCATTGAAAAGGTTTTTTTTTTTTTTAATGGGTGTGGTAATATTGTAATGATCCTAAGAGAAAGGCCCTCATCTTACCCTTCATTTCATTTCCATAGAGACTAGCATGGTATCCCATATGGCTGATGCTCAATTAATATATTCATTAAATTGATAGATAAAAAAGCTTCTTCTAGTTTGAAGTGATAACATTTCTACAAATTAGTGAAAATCTGTAAGAACAGTTAGCCTACTCGATTCTTTTTCTCCACTTTCAAATGTTTAATAAAATGTCATTTGTTTTCCAGCTTCTTAAGCACTTCTTATTTATTATCTAATGAGATTTTAATATATTATGAAAATTTATTTGTAAAAACAAATGCTTTCTAATAAACTAACTTTTATAAGTTTAGTAGATGAATCAAACTTTTTTGGATAATTTTTCACTCAGTCTCAAAATTAAATATTATGATACACGGAAGCAACTTAAAATAAATTATTGCTTTGCATTCCTGATTGAGCACAAATCTAATCATGAACTCACTGGAAACAATCTATTTGAAAGGGTATATTTGGCAGTATTTTGTTTGGATAAAGGCATATAGTAAATTTCCCTCAAATGATCACGTATATGCTGTAGGCTTTTCTGATTTTTTCTAAGGCACTGGCTACTCCAGATTATAGCATTTTACTCATATGTTAGAATACCCATTTCGTATTCACCCTAAAGCTGTATTCATGCTCCTTCTCTTTGTCTTTATATGTTTCTGACCTGAGCATCATTTTCTTTCTGACTCTTAGTCACTCAAATTAACTTGCATTTCCAATCATTTATTTAAAGAAGTCCAATAAATCCAAAGATCATGGCCTATATTGCTCTACCCATTTGCTTCTGCAGGGGACCAAAGATGGCACTTTGATTTCACCATACTGAATGTGTGATGTTCTGAAAGGAATAATAGGGTAGAGGCCCCTACGACTATTTTCCTGAGTGGTTGGACCAAGAGTACTTCTATTATTCAAACTTAAAATTAAAAATTGAGAAACTTGAAATTGGCCTACTGCAGCCCTAGTTTTCTTGGGCACTCCCTGAGGTGTAGGAACCAAACAGCTCAGCTTTTAAGAAAATATCTGAGAATGGAAAGGGTGGAGGTCATAAGTAGACAGGGATGGTGGTCAAGAACACTGAGTTTCGAGTTATTGGCCTGGGTTCAAATCATGGTATCATTTATAAACTATATGACCATATACAAGTATTTAACTTCTCAGTGTATCAGATTATTCCTATGTAAAATGGAAAACAAGCTTTCTGACAGCACCTATGTGGCTGTTGTAAGGATTAAATGAGATAATGCCTTTTAAACCTAGAATGCAGTAATCCCTGTTTGTGCTAGCCATTACAGTCGTTGTGTTCCAATGTAATTCTTCTACCTCTGTCTGGATCTGTAGGGAATTTATGCAGGACTACATATTCGTTGAGAGGTCTTGCCAGTGTGTTTAAATTCCAACCATGGGGCTCAATTATGTGGTTGTGCTATAGCACCTCCAAGTCTTCTAGCTTGGTTTTGGTCCAATATCGTGGGCTTCACGTAGACACAAGATATCTTTCTGTAGTTACTCTAGAGAAAATGCAGTTTATACTATACCAGGATGTAGTAAACATTCTAGAAGCAGTACTAAGTTTCTCTTTATGGAAGTAAACATGCCATCTTGATACACTTATTATTTGAAGAAGTAAAAGTAGCTAGTTTCTTACAGAAGGAAAAAAAAACATTTTTGCTAAGTGAAGTAAAAAATGTACTACTCTCTGCTTCTTCCCACAGTATCCATAAATATGCGGAGGCCGTTTATTTTGCCAGATGGGTTTTGAGACCCTGCTGAAACAAGAGATGCTGTCATTTATATTTCCCTCAAATTCTACCACAAACCACACTTGGGAGGGAAAAGAAAAAGTCGCCATGTAAGCATGTTTACCTTCAAGTGACTAGGAAGTGGAAACCTATCCATAAGTGATGACTCACCATTGCAGGCCTATAAAAGTAAAGGTATTCTCTGCGGAAGGACAACAGTCACCAGGCATCACCATTCAAGATGCATCCAGGGGTCCTGGCTGCCTTCCTCTTCTTGAGCTGGACTCATTGTCGGGCCCTGCCCCTCCCCAGTGGTGGCGATGAAGATGATTTGTCTGAGGAAGACCTCCAGTTTGCAGAGGTAGAGTATCTTGCCAATCCTGATGATGCGGTTGGTACATCTCAGAAATGTCCTTCTCTTTGAAACGCGGTTCATTTTGGTCTCTTTTCTAGCGCTACTTGAGATCGTACTACTATCCTACAAATCTCGCGGGAATTCTGAAGGAGAATGCAGCAAGCTCCATGACTGACAGGCTCCGAGAAATGCAGTCTTTTTTCGGCTTAGAGGTGACTGGAAAACTTGACGATAACACCTTAGATGTCATGAAAAAACCAAGATGCGGGGTTCCTGATGTGGGTGAATACAACGTTTTCCCTCGAACTCTCAAATGGTCCAAAATGAATTTAACCTACAGGTAATTATAGACTATCTTTCTTTCATATTTGTTAGCCTTTTCTTGTTGTATTAAATGTCTAATATTAAGTAGGCATTACTATTTAATAGGCAGTTAAATTCCAGAATAGCTTTAATGTGGTTGCCGAGATTGCCTCATAACATCTATTATTGTCACAGTAACCCAGCATGATTTTTTAGTGGGCATCTCCAAGTATTTCTTTTAGAAATGAAATCAAAAGAGAAATAAAAGTAGATTAAAGAAAATTTGCAAACGTAGTGCATTAGGTATATTTATCACAATGGTTCTAAAGATGAAGAGTTCCACTCTTTCTAGAAACTTTACAGAGCTATTTCATTTATTTGGGCTTTATCAATGTAATTCAAACTTTTAGCATGCAAAATAAATTACATTAAACTTTGGAAAAATTTTAATTTCAGGTGCCACATGGTCAGATATTCGGAGATACTCAAATGTCTGAATTTTTGACTTTTTATTCTTGTATGGCATCATAATTAATACATTCTTTGAAACAATAAACCTCTAGTAGAACTTTCAAAGAAATTATTGCATTTTGAATTGAAGAGCAATATACCAAGAAAATGTATTCTAAAATAGCTGTCACTTTCCAAAAACTTAATTGAAACTTTCTCTGTTAAATAGAATTGTGAATTACACCCCTGATATGACTCATTCTGAAGTTGAAAAGGCGTTCAAAAAAGCCTTCAAAGTTTGGTCCGATGTAACTCCTCTGAATTTTACCAGACTTCACGATGGCATTGCTGACATCATGATCTCTTTTGGAACTAAGGGTAATGATGCACATTTATTTTTAAAACATTTTTATATTCTAATTCTTAGTTGGTTCCATTTTAAAATTATTTCTTTCAGTCATTCATTACTTTTTAAAGCATTCAACACCAATTTACCAAACACCTGTGCTAAGTACTCCTGGATGTGATAAGACTCCTAACCCTTGCTTTTGTGTGTAGAGCATGGCGACTTCTACCCATTTGATGGGCCCTCTGGCCTGCTGGCTCACGCTTTTCCTCCTGGGCCAAATTATGGAGGAGATGCCCATTTTGATGATGATGAAACCTGGACAAGTAGTTCCAAAGGTAATGTTTCTTATAAAGATATCATTTATGTGTTGTTAGATTAGACAGTGAACACACTGGTATGGAAGTTAAAACACATAAAAGTTAAATATATTTGGTATTTGACTATATTTTCTTAAATAAAGTTTATCTTAGACATATTAGTGTCTCTACAAGTGACATTTCTACAAATTGATATTCAACATTAAAAAATGAACAAAATCTACTTAATCTGTCACTGTGGCTTGAGGGATACTAATGAACTCTGAAGTAGGACCAAAATGTTTATGTTTGTCAGCCAATATGTTATTACTGCAAATTACCTTTTGGCATGTTGAAGAAGTACAGTTTATTATAAATATATAACTAAAAACTACCAGGGTTGGATCTATGGGTCATACATGAATTAGATGTGAAATGAAATAATTTTTTCCTTGGTAGAAATATGTTCAATCAAATTTCTGTTTCCCATTATATGAGTTGCTTGATTCAGTCTTATCTGTATATGACAAACAACATTCTTAAAAATCTAGACAGAGTCTTACCCCAAACAGCATGAAACAGACAAAGTGGCAGTTGTTTTTACAAGAGCAAAATGAAATTGCATGTTGAATGAAATCAGTTAGTAGTTGAATCTTCAAGTCTCAAAATAATTGGGAATGTTAATTTAGGAAGAAAAGCCATAGATTGTTCTAACTAGGACTTAGTTATGACAAGTAGAGGTTGTCTTCATAGACAGCTGATTTTATTATTCATTTAAACAAGAAAGATTATTTTTCCAAAGAATAAAACTGGGCCTTACATGTTCAGTGTCTCAACTCTAATACCTAGAATCTGTCTGTGGAGGGAAAAGTGAAAATTTACATATTTATGTTCTGGGTATTTCAGAGGTAAGAACGGTTTCAGGAAGAAGGAATAAGATAGAGCATTGTTAAGGCAGAATCACAATAAGCCTCAAATGTAGGTTCCTTTGTAAATTCTGGGTTTGAAATACTTAACTGAAATGAATGAAAACATCCACAAACCAGTCTGGATTCATTTTTCAGTGGAAGGCCAAGAGCAGTACCCATTACTAGTCATTTGATGAAGAATTGGCACTCAGATTATGCGACCTCTAGTTGCTCTCATGGTCTGCAAGATTTGCTAGGTTGGTTCATTTTCTTCATGCACAGGCTGCAATAGCAAAGGAAATTTAAGGTCAAATGGAATCCACTGGCTCTAGTTTTCAGGTAATCTAAGCACAAGTAACAACAATCCTATAGCCTTACACTTCTTGTTTTTCTTTTAGTGTTTTATTCTCTTTTTTCCAGTTTGAAATACCTGTATTAGGAGGCTCAAAATTGGCAGACAGAATGCTTAGAGGGAACAATGTAAATACAGTGACATAGTGGTCTTCTAGAGTAAAGATGGCTAATCATGTCTAGAGTTTCTGTTTCTTCAAATCCCAGAGTCTAGAGATGTTCTAGAAAGAATCATTTGGTTGGAATTCGCTCCCAAGAGTATACACAGAGAATCTATTTAGTGCATCCTCCATCCTTGGTACGGTCCCTTTGGGTGCTGCCTCCTGATTGGAGGATGTTCTGGGCAGAACCCTAGCTAGGTACCACCCTATGTGATTTCCCCACTCCTCGTTTAAGGTAATCTCTGTCCACTTCCCTCACTTGACCTGAGAATACTAAGAGCAAATCAGGAGTCCTAGTGTCTTCATGGTAAATCCTTACTAGTTACTAATTACATGAGAGTAATCTGTTGACATTCTAATTGTGTAGGCAGCTATAATCAAAAGAACACTAAATTATTTATAAGAATTAAATCAATACTTTGAATCTTCCTTCAAGCAACTGAATACTGATATTAAAAAGTAAGAGAGTGAAGAAAGAGAAAAGAAAGAGTATATAGCGAAGAAAGAAACATACCAAATAGATAAAATGATACTCCTTTCATTACCTGGTCACTGGAATTCCTTTTTTTCTCATTGTTTCTTTATTTTCTTACAGGCTACAACTTGTTTCTTGTTGCTGCCCATGAGTTCGGCCACTCCTTAGGTCTTGACCACTCCAAGGATCCTGGAGCACTCATGTTTCCCATCTACACCTACACCGGCAAAAGCCACTTTATGCTTCCTGATGATGATGTACAAGGGATCCAATCTCTCTATGGTAACTCAGTTATAGAAATAGAATATGATTGGTTATAAAAGCAGAAGAAATCCATGCATTTATTTTCTAAATAGCAGTCATGCTGCATAATGATGTTTTGGTACAGTGAAGTTCATGTATGACAAAGGTTTCATAATACTATAATACTGTATTTTTAATGTACCTTTCTTATGTTTAGATACACTTAATACTCACCATTGTGTTACGAGTGCCTGCAGTACTCAGTACAGTAATATGCTGGACAGGTTTGTAGCTTAGGAGCAATAGGCTGTACCATATAGCGTATATGTGTAGTAGGTTATATATCTAGGTTTGTGTAAGTATACACTACGATGTTCACCCAATGACAAAATCTCCTAACAACACATTTTTTAGAATGTATCCTTGTTGTTAAGCGACACATGACTCTACTAACTGAATTCACCACTGCCAATGCTGCTTTCTTGGTGTTGTTACTAAAACCTAGGAAAACACACCCATTTTTTCTTTCCAAATCTAACTACCCACTCAAATAGAAAATACTTCATTCTCCAATTTTTTGCAGACTATAACTCCCTGTATCTGTATTTTATACATTGCAATGTGCATTTGATACCTTCAAAACACCTCTGCAATAAGAAAGAAAAATATTTTATTCCCCATTTAACCAATGAAGAAACAAAGCCATGTAGAGTTTAAGTAGCATACCTATAGTAATATGGTTGGTGGTGAAAGTGAGTTCCTAAAGCTTTTAGAAATTCCAAGTACTCTTTCAACCAGTCCAATTTGGCACAGTAGAAACCTCTCAAGTGGCCTGTGGTAGTTTTTAATCAACATCTACAGTAACCATTGTAAAAAAAAAATTCTTCCTTTTCACTTACCCCCCAAATTTTCAATAATATTTACAAAATAAGTAAACCTCAACCCAAATATTTATTTATAGATGACCTGTTATAAATAGAGTTAAAGCCACAGTGCACAGTTGTCAGTGTAAACATTTCTAGAGCACATAGTTCAGCAAACTTGCTCACATCACCCAAGCCATTCTTTTCCCTTCTAAATTTGAATCTATCACAGTAACTAGCATAGCCATGGGCATGAATTGAAGATGGCAAAGGGAATTTGCAAATTTATTTTGCAGTTATTATTTCTACATTATTATGACTCAGGGACTTATGAAAGAACTAATATAAACTAGACAGAAAAAAAAAACCAGTGTAGGATTATTATTGTGTACTGCACCCCCATCCCGTCTGCACTCATGGGAGCTGGTTGGAAAGTTACCAACATTTGGCAAGTCACATAAGTGCTGAAGGCCTGACTTGTCACAGCTGAGATACAGCTGCACCATGGCAAACTGGTGAAGCAACATTATTTGATGTTGATAGCTGGTAAAATAGTCAAGAGGAGGAGGCAAGATGAGGGCTTTCGCAGGAGAAATACACCATCAAAAATGGCTTTGAGGGGAGTCTAGTTTTCAAGAGCAGTCTATCAATAGATTGTGCAAGGTGTAGGGAAAATTTCTTCAAAGTCTGTTGCTTTTTTCCCCTCATTTTTATCATCAACCTCAGGAAACCTAAGTTTATAGTTCTAAAGAATCTCGAGAGGTCTTGAAGGATGGAAGTAGAGGGGAGGAAGGAAGGAAGATTACATGGTACTTGCACCATAATGTAGGAGCCCCAGGACCTACAGCTTTTCCTGGAGAAAACCCTCTCCCACTGTCCATCAGCAGATCAGCCTGTTGTGCTGTGACCCAGGTTTTCAGTAATGTCACATTCATAACTTCTCTCTTGCCTTTCACGACTGCAGGTCCAGGAGATGAAGACCCCAACCCTAAACATCCAAAAACGCCAGACAAATGTGACCCCTCCTTATCCCTTGATGCCATTACCAGTCTCCGAGGAGAAACAATGATCTTTAAAGACAGGTACTCTTGAGATTCTTTCATAAAGTTTGTATGCAACAAACATCTGTGAAGCTGTTTCTGCATATCGCCAAAACATCCTGTCAGACTTCCAAAGGCAAAGTTAACAGTAAAAATGGGCAGGCAGCTTACTTCCATATTTCAGACCAAATAAATGACTGATGGATAAATGTTTTAGTTTTCAGTGTACAACCTTGGCATTGTGTAGCTTGTTTTTACATCTCTAGTTATAGTCTTTCTTGTAAATATAACCAAGAAAATCTAGAAATCCAATTTATTTTAAAAACAGACAAGCATTGAAAGTAATTGCTGTATTAATAAATGGTTACTCGTTAGGCCCACGCGGATTCGTTTTGGCATGGAAAGACTTTGATTCTGGATACATATGTTGGAATTCGAGAGATAGAATGAAATGAACCTAGAAATGCAATATAAAATTTTAATTTCTACATTGTTCTAGTATGCGTATTTGTTCATTCATTCATTCATTGATCCCTCATCTGTGATCCAATAGCATGTTTACCCCCTCTATTATAACTCTAACTACAATTGTACTCATGGGACGGGGTGTGGTTCTCATGTATCAGTTTTCCCAGGCCATGAGACCGTGGAAGACATAGTTCATGTAACTCATATCTTCTCTCTGGAGCCCAACACAATGCCTGGCAAATTTGTTTGCCCCTAGCAAGATACCCAAAATTGAGCAAGACAATTTCAACCCACAAAGAACTTAGAGACCTCGCAAAGGCTCTGCGAGATTTCAAAGTTGAATACCTTACGCTAGTTAGGATAGCACAACTTGCCACTGGAACTGAAAGGGTAATGGAATTTTTTCCCCTTCACAGGTGGGAGGTATTGGTTGTATTTAACTTATCTGTGTTATTGTGGAGAGAAGTGACTAGCAGGATAGAAATATAGCACTTAAAAATGTGACAGAAAACTCCATTTTACTTTTGTGTTAGATTCTTCTGGCGCCTGCATCCTCAGCAGGTTGATGCAGAGCTGTTTTTAACGAAATCATTTTGGCCAGAACTTCCCAACCGTATTGATGCTGCCTATGAGCATCCTTCTCATGACCTCATCTTCATCTTCAGAGGTAAGCTTTCCACAGAGGAGGCCTCGCACAGGACCAGGGGAGGCAGTGCTGAACTTGATGCCAATAGAGATTCAGTAAAATGATCACCACTGAAAATATACCTAAATTAAAGACCAAGTATTAAAAAAATGAAAGCCAGAAAGTAACTGAAACCATTCTACCATGAATCTCCAAATTGAACATATAAAAGGTCTACATTGTTAGACTTGTCATATCCACTCTTTCTTTCATATGAATCATGTGAGTTTTTTCTCTTAGTTCCTCTTAAAAATTGTTTATTGAGAAAACATTATAACAATATATATTCTGAAAAAGTGGAAAAAATATTATGAATCATTCTTCCTTCTGAATAGTCAGTTGATTTCATTTGTTCATTTTCATTATGTAACACATATTTTAAAATATTTATTTTCATAGTACAGATACATTTTTATAATCTACTGCTTTCCTTGACATAAAATTATGACCAATTTCCAAATTGCTACTTTACCTTTATGACCATAATTTAAAATGGCTACATAACTTTCTGCTGACACTGTTTCTATTGTTCAACTATTTATAATATTAATGTTATAATAAACCTACTTTTCAGAGAAGAAAATAACTTTCAAACTGGTATAAAATTTGAGTTTTCAATCTAATTAACCCTTCCTACTGTGTTGTTTATTCATGTAGAAATTTTAATGTGTTTTCTACCTAGCTTTAAACTTAATATTCAGAACCAATAAATTGCTAAGTTAATTGTGATATTTGATTAGCTATATTCATAACTGGGAAATTAAGATCCTAAATTTTATTTTTTTGTTTCAAGAATCCTTATATTTTTATGTTTCATAAACATGATGACTGTAAATACTAAATATTTTATTAATATTTCTAAATGTATAATTGGGCCTGCCCTTAAGCACATGTCTACCTAGGTAAGTCTTAATAGATTTCCCTGGATAATAAAACTGTTATTTCACTCATTCCAGGTAGAAAATTTTGGGCTCTTAATGGTTATGACATTCTGGAAGGTTATCCCAAAAAAATATCTGAACTGGGTTTTCCAAAAGAAGTTAAGAAGATAAGTGCAGCTGTTCACTTTGAGGATACAGGCAAGACTCTCCTCTTCTCAGGAAACCAGGTCTGGAGGTATGGCAGCAGGATGTACTGACACATCTGTGTCATAGCCACAAACTGCCTCAAATATCTGTCACTACTAGAAAATATTCCTACACACTACTGTAAATGTCATACTAGTCATTCACTTTTATTCCATGTCAGCTCTTTCAGGCAGCCCCTCAGATATGCATTTAAAAGTCTCAAGCTCTCTTGAACACACACACACACACACACACACACACACACACACATATATAATACTCAAACATTCCTCTTCTCGAACATTCTTTTCTTAGCCATTTGTTATGCCTCTCAACCATCTTTGGCACCCCCTCTTTCTTTCTTTCTTTCTTTTTTTTTTTTTTTTTTGTTTTTTGAGACTAAGTCTTGCTCTGTTATCCAGGCTTGAGTCTAGTGGCATGACCTTGGCTCACTGCAACCTCTGCCTCCTGTATTCAAGCAATTCTCGTGTCTCGTGTCTCAGTCTCCCAAGTAGCTGGGATTACAGGCATGTGCCACTACACTCAGCTAATCTTTATATTTTTAGTAGAGACGGGGTTTTGCCACATTGGTCAGGCTTCTGGCCTCCAGCAATCCACCTGCCTCAGCCTCCCAAAATTCTGGGATTACAGTTGTGAGCCACCGCACCCGATTGACACCATCTCTTTCTAATCTTTCTCCTGTATTCTCTTTCTTGTCACTTTCTCTTAATTTACATGTAGCTCCATCTTCCATGGCCAAAGAGGATACCAGCATGAGTACAGGAAAAGATTAGTTGAGAGAGAAAGCCCTCCTCTCTGCGGAGTTAGCTGATCCACTCAAGAGGTTGACCAGGAAGCTGACAGGCCCATCGTTTATAAAGTGAAACTTTCTGAAGGGCAAGTGAAGCTGGGATATTTAAAACATATGTAAAGATTCAGGCAGCGTTGACATCAACAACATTTAGGAGTCCAGATTCAAGTCTATATTTGGAAACGGGAATATCTCATCATTACCCTGCATTCGAAATGTTTAAAATGGAAACTTTCCTCCATCTCTACATACACACAGTTACACACACACATGCATACCCACACACACGCACATACCTCTATATATCATCTTTGCCTTTTGACTTATTTCTGACAATGACATTTACAACATTCTAAAAATCACTGCCAGCTTCTACCAGGTACTGCATTTCATTCCCTACCCTCCATAAGGAGTATGTGGTTCAGTCAGGATTAATTGCTTACTGCAGCTCAGATATGCTGTTCTTTTGTATTCCCTTACGCTTCTCTTATGCAATTTTTTTTTTCCTTTGGCGAGGAGATCCTTCCCTGCCTCTCTCCCTCTTGAAATTCTGCCCATTGTTTAAAGTTCATTCAAAATATCATTTCATCTACAAAGTCTTCTTTGATTTCCCCATTCAGGGGTTATTGCCCGGTTTCCTGTACCCCCATGACATTTCATGATTACTCTCTCATGCTTCACTTCTGTTGCCTGGTGTTGCAGTTATGTGTAAACACATGCCTTAGCTTTATTGGTAGTTCAGTGGTTATGTTTTACTTGTTGGAACATACCTTCAGGATATTCAAAAGCTCTCATCAGTAGCCGTAGTGGCACCTTATGGGAGCCTGTTTTCCTAGGTTAATTTTAGGATATGTTTGCTTGGTTAGGGTGTGGCTGCGGGCAGGGGAGAAGGAGCTTGAAATATGCAGTTATGGAAGGGGAAAACTATGCTTCCCTTCCCACCTTTATTATTACCATATGCCCCTACAACTTTTTACCACAGAAATTAAACCTTAAATATTTTTGTAGCCATTACTGTGTTTAGCAAGTTGTCTTACACATAGTGGGAAATCAATAGCTAATTGTTCAATGCACAAACATGCATTTATTTCATGCTTAAGAACACGTTCCTAATGACATACTTTTATAACAGATACACCATTTGTGAAATGGAAATGAGCTTGTAACTCTCTTTAAAAAGATGGCCTTCGGGCAAGTCAACAAATACTCGTCAAGCAGCCACTGTACACTCAGTATTCTCATTCCTAATGTTAAAAAGCTACCAGACGTTTTAAATGGACTTAAAATTTTTAAATTCTTGTCAATTTTGAAAGATGCTATTGTATCTATTGTATTATTTCTAAGGTACTTTCTAAGAAATATAACTGACTTAAGAGTATTTTTTTCTTTAAATAGATATGATGATACTAACCATATTATGGATAAAGACTATCCAAGACTAATAGAAGAAGACTTCCCAGGAATTGGTGATAAAGTAGATGCTGTCTACGAGAAAAATGGTAAGTAGTTACATTACATTGACTTTAAAGAGGAGCTTCTGTAGCCCCTGAAAACTCTTTTCTGTACAAATCGTTTTTAGATAGGACCTAGATGTGTTAATAAATGTATGGCAGTTAAGGAATTAATCGTTCCTATGTGACTACCTACAAAGACAGCAAACCAAAAATATAACATGCCGAGAATAAATGAGAATTTTACTTAATGATTGCTAATTCTATAAATACGAGATGCTAAACCTTCAACACTACCGTAAGCTACGCTTAAAGATGCAAAAATGCAAAAGATATTGCCAGAATTCAAACTGGGTGTGGAGTGGGAAGTAATTCATACATAAAGACTCATAACTACCATAACTATGTAGTGACCTTTTACTTTAATTATGTTCTCAGCCTTTTATTTTTATTTGTTTATTTATTTTGACAGAGTCTCACTCTGTCGTCCAGGCTGGAGTTCAGTGGCACAATCTCAGCTCGCTGCAACCTCCACCTCCCAGGTTCAAGAGATTCTCCTGCCTCAGCCTCTGGAGTAGCTGGGATTACAGGTGCCTGACACCATGCCCGGCTGATTTTTGTATTTTTAGTAGAGATGGGGTTTTGCCATGTTGGCCAGGCTGGTCTTGAACTCCTGGCCTCAAGCGATTCACCCGCCTCGGCCTTCCAAAGTGCTCAGATTACAGGCCTGACTTCACTGACCTCCTTTAACTATGAAAAGAGATATTATTGATAACTTATAACAAATATCAGTCTAGGTGCGGTGGCTCATGCCTGTAATATAAGCACTTTGCAAAGCTGAGATGGGCGGATCACTCGAGATCAGGAGTTCAAGACTAGCCTGACCAACATGGCAAAACGCCATCTCTACTAAAAATACAAAAAAAAAAAATAGCTGGGAATGGTGGCATGCACCTGTAATCCCAGCTAGTCAGGAGGCTGAGGCAGGAGAATCGCTTGAATTTAGGAATCAGAGGTTGCAGTGAGCCAAGATCACTGCCAGTGCACTCTAGCCTGGACTACAGAGTGAGACTCTGTCTCATATACACACACAAAAATCGATAATCGGCCGGGCGCAGTGGCTCACGCCTGTAATCCCAGCACTGTGGGAGACTGAGGCAGGTGGATCACGAGGCCGGGAGATGGAGACCATCCTGGCTTAACACGGTGAAACCTCGTCTCTACTAAAAAAAAATACAAAAAATTAGCTGGGCGTAGGTGGCAGGCGCCTGTAGTCCCAGCTACTGGGGAGGCTGAGGCAGGAGAATGGCGTGAACCCGGGAGGCGGAGCTTGCAGTGAGCGGAGATCGCGCCACTGCACTCCAGCCTGGGCGACAGAGCGAGACTCGGTCTCAAAAAAAAAAAAAAAAAAAAAAAACCCGATAATCCAAGTAGCAAAACTGTCTAGGAAGATTCACACCTTAAAAGAACAACTAAAAAATAAAAATAAAAAGATAAAAAAATTAAAAAGGAACAACTATGAGCAATACATTAAAGCACTAATAGAGTTTAAAAAGAAAAAGGTTGAGATTCCTACAAACGGGATCTAAGAGATTGAACCGTTAATAGTAACTGGATTAAAACCTTATTATTTTCAAACTCTGAAATTGTCTTTATGCTTTTTCCTGTAGGTTATATCTATTTTTTCAACGGGCCCATACAGTTTGAATACAGCATCTGGAGTAACCGTATTGTTCGCGTCATGCCAGCAAATTCCATATTGTGGTGCTAAGTGTCTTTCTAAAAATTGTTATTTAAATCCTGAAGAGCATTTGGGGTAATACTTCCAGGAGTGTGGGGTGGGGGAAGGAGAGCTATCAGGAGAAAGCTTGGTTCTGTGAACAAGCTTCAGTAAGTTATCTTTGAATATGTAGTATCTATATGACTATGGGTGGCTGGAACCACATTGAAGAATGTTAGAATAATGAAATGGAGGATCTCTAAGGAACACCTGATTCTTGTTGCTGTACAAAAGCAATGGCTGATGATATTTCCCACACCACAAATGGGACACATGGTCTGTCAATGAGAGCATAATTAAAAAATATATTTATAAGGAAATTTTACAAGAGCATAAGGTAAATCACATTCATATAATGAATAAATCATTCTTACTAAAAAGCATAAAATAGTATGAAAATGGAATTTTTGGAGA